TTGGCGGGCATTGCACGACACAGGTGCACTTACCTACATGCAGGCAATACATGCATACACATAAAACAAATAATAAATTTAAAAATACTGGAATTTGGAAGCCGGTCATGGTGGTGATCCGCCTTTAATCCCAGCACTTGGAAGGCAGAGGCAGGCGGATCTCTGTGAGTTAAAGGGCCGCCTGGTATACATAGCGAGTTCCAGTCCAGCTGGGGCTACAGGGAAACCCTTTCTCAAAAAGACTTAAAAAAAATTTGCAATTTGACCCGGGGGTGGCGCACTGCTTTAATCCCAGCAGTTCTGTGAGATCAAGGCCAGTCTGGTCTATACAGTGAGTTCCAGCTGGGGCTACATGGCGACCCTGTCTCAAAAAAAATAAAAAAAAAAAATTTGGGCTGGAGAGATGGGCTTAGTGCTTTTGTAGGGGACCTGAGTTCGATTCCCAGCACCCACATTACAGCTCACAACCACCTGTTGGAAAGTTGAAGCCAGGATTACTCAGTCCCAGGGGATCTAATCCCTCTGGTTTCCTCCTCAGGCACTGGCACTCACATGCACATACTTCCACACGTGTATATACACATATACATACATATACATGATTTTTTTTTTTTGGTCTTTTTGAGGCAGGGTCTTCTTGTAGTCCCAGATGTCCTGGAACTCAATATGTAGACCAGGCTAGCCTTGAACTTACAGAGATCTGCCTGCCTCTGCCTCTCAAGTGCTGGGACTAAAGACCTGCTCCACCATGCTTGTTACATATACATAATTTAAAATAATAATAAATCTTTAAAAAATTTAATGCAGCCAGGTCTGAAAACAAAGAAGGAAATAAATGAATGGAAAAAACTTTGTGAAGGATATCAGTGGAATGGCCAATAAAATGACATTTGAATAAGGCTTTGAAGGAAGGAGTAAGCCGTTGTAGATCTTTGCATGTGCTCTGTGTCCCAAGTGTGGTTGAGTGTTCTGTAGTGATTGTGGCCTTCAAGGGTCACCCAGAGCAGCCTGTGTTTTTGGATGGTTTTCCTAGTACTTTACTTTTTTTAAGGAAAAGAAGCAAAATGGAAACAGCATATAAGTTTGCAGTCTAGTTGCCAGAAATGCGTTTGCAGCTTTTTGAAACTAGCCAACTACCGAGAACTCTGCAGTATGGTGGATGAAAAATAATCTAAAATTGTTTGGAGCTAGTCTCTGCCCTAATTATAGAGAAATTTCAGAGGAATCCACCTTCAGGGGTCACTAAGAAGCAGGATGGTCTTGGTGAGGTGAGCTCCCCAGTCAGTAGAGGAGATGGTGGGAGATGTGCTCTTTTGAAAGGTTGAGGTCAGGATTAGTTAGAATTAAATGAGATTCTTGTTTTGTTTTACAGTCCTGGGGACCAAACCCAGCACTTCTAAGAATATTTGACAAGCACTCCACAGCTGAGCTGTAGCTCTAGGTCGCAGGATTGACTTTGTAGACAGAGCCAGTAAGGAATTTAGACTTGATTGTGTAGGCATGTTTGAGGAGAAAGTACATGGTAGTGTGTTAGAAATAAAATTCGAAGTCCAAGGACACCATCAATACTGCACAGAGAACATTCAGACAAAGCTAAAGTAACTTGGCAAGGCAAATTGTACTTTTGCAAAAGGGTGACCTGCATGATCAGTCAGATCCAGCAAGTACACAGCAAGAAGCTTGGCTTTTTTTTATCCTAATGCAAGAGAACTGTGTCTTTTCCCCCTTGGCTGGGGTCTGACTCACAGTCTTTCCCAGTTAGCTAGTTTAAAAGAATCTGGATATGGTGGTGCACGCCTTTGATCCCAGCACTGGGGAGGCAGAGGCAGGTGGATGTAGCTGGAACTACAGGGGGGGAGACCCCGTGTCCAAAAAAAAAAAAAAAAAGTGCAAAGGGAGAAGAGCTCCACTACCCCAGTCCACTACCCCAGGCCACCAGGCTCAGGAATGTGTCAGGGCCTTTCCTTAAACAAAAGTCTTACAGGGTGTGGTGTGATGAAAAGATTAGAATTCCTTGTCATAAACCAAGTTCCAAGTTTTACAAGGCTTAAAAGACTAATGTCTAATATATCTTACAATGTTATATAGAAAATATACAGAACAGTGGATGAAGGACAGCCATATAAAAACTTAGTAGCTCTCTTGGTAGAGTGCTCACCTAGCATGCACCAGGCCCTGGTTTCAATCCCTAGCACTAGATAAAACAGTTTTGGTGGCACATACCTGCAATCCCAATATTCTGGGAGGTAGAGGCAGGAGTCAGAAGATCAGGGTCATCCTCAGGTACATAGTGAATTCTAAGCCAGCCTGGGATACATAAAACCCTGTCTTAGGGGCTGGAGAGATGACTCAGCAGTTAAGAGCACCCACATGGCAGCTCACAACCAGTGTAACTCCAGTTTCAGAATTCAATGCCCCGTTAAGACCTCTCAGGAGATTTCATGCACATGGTGCACTTACATGCAGGCAAAACACTCATACATGTAAGATAAAAATATTTTTTTTGAAAAAGACCCTATGTCACATAAATAAATAAACATAACACGTTTATTGTCATCAGTGCCTATGTGTCCCCTTCCAGGTTAAGTTCTGCTATACTCATCCAGGCAGATAATAAACATAGGAACTTGAATAAAAATTTTTTAAATGCAAAGTGAATCTTATCACTTCTTTCTAAAAAGTTGTCAATAAGTAGCTTAGTTTTTTTGTTTTTGAACTTCAATTTTATTTGAAGCAGTGTCTCACTGTGTAGCCCTGGTTGGCCTTGAACTGGCTATATGGACTGCCTCCTGCCTCAAGAATGCAGCCCTACCACACCCAGCTTTTGCTTGTTTGTTTTTAATCATGGAGTTAGGGATCAAATTCGGCTTCAGGCACTCCAGGCAAGTACTGTACCACTGAGCTGTATACAGCCCAGCCCCACATTCCTTCTTTAAAACAATTTTTTTAATTTTATGTGTATCAGTGTATTGTCTGCGTGTATGTCAGTGCACCCATGTCATGTAGTGGTCAGAAGAGAGTGTCAGATCCCCTGGAACTGGAGTTAAAGACAGTTGTAGTTGCTGTGCTTAACCACTGAGCAGCCAGTACTTAACCACTGAGCCATCTCTCCAGCCCCCTACCCCCCATTTTCCTTTTTAAAACCTCTTTTGTAGTTTATAGGCACCCTTGGAATAAAATTTTATCAACTCCAGATCTGAAGATGGAGCTCAGTTGTACATCCAGCGTACAGAGCCTTGGATTCAATCCGCAGCACTAAAAAAAGAAAAAAAAAAAAAAAAAAAAAAACCCAGAAACTAAATTTCTTCTGATGTTTTTCAGTCTTTAAACGACTAGTGCTTTCTCCTTAGGGTCTTAGCAGTCCTTGGTAAGGCCCTCCTTAATGGCCCTGTCTGTGTTAACCATTTTCCCAAGATGTTCAGCAAACTTGCTCATCATCCTGTTTTTTTCAGCAATAAGTTATTGTTTGTAAACATCATATTTATTTATTGATTGTATTTCCTTCTTCAGAATATAGAGACTGAGGTTGGCTGGCTGGGGTAGTGAGACCCCAGGGAGGGGAAGCGTATTTTCCCTTCTTCGGTAGCTTCTACTTCTACTCCGGACTTCAGGTTTCCACCCTGGCCAAGGGGTAAGGCGCTGTTTACACTTCTGTTCTGCTTCTGCAAGATCAACCCATGAGCCCTTTTGGGTTCTAGTGTGTTTTCACTGCTGAACTTCAGGAGCAGTTCCAGAGCTAGTCAACTGTTAGTCACGGAAGTCAGTGGGTCTTCAGGCCTGGCTGACAAGGAAATAGAAGGGCTGGCAAGTGGGAGAGCCAGCCGGGGTCAAAGTCTTCACAGTCCATACTCTGCTGGCTGAGGGGAGACACACGGCTGAGCCCCACCTGCACTCCTTGTTCCAAGGTCAGCTTTCCACACTTCAGGAGGACAGGAGCTAGACTCAATGAGACCTGCTGCCTCTAGACTTGGTGATCTGCTGAGCAGCAGCCGCAGGCACAAGCAGTTCTTTCCCTCTCCTGGTAGGTTGCTATCGGCTGGTGGACTATTTGGAAGGAATCCAGAAGAATTTTGATGAAGCTGCCAGGGTGTTGAAGTTCAACTGTGAGAAGAACAAGCACAGCGACAGCTGCTACAAACTGGGCGCCTATTACGTGACCGGGAAAGGTAAGCAAGGAGCCACAGCTACTTGTATTGGTCTTGTTCCCAAGCCCCATGCTGAGCCGTCTTCACAGAAAGATCCTCAGACACCAAGGAAGGTACTGGAGGAAAATGTAGAGGCTGGAGTTCTGCAGAAGGTGGGAAGGGTGCCATGTTTAGGTTAAGCAACCTTAGGGATTGCTGTTTGCAGCCAGTAGGTCCTTGGGCAAATCAGTTTCTTTTTTATTCCCTTTTAAAAAATTTTATGGCCGGGCGTAGTGGCGCACGCCTTTGATCCCAGCACTGGAGAGGCAGAGAGACAGGTGGATCTCTGTGAGTTCAAGGCCAGCCTGGTCTACATAGTGAGTTCCAGGCTAGGTGGGGTTATAGGGAGACCCTGTCTCAAAAAAAGACCAAAAAAAACCAGTTTACTTACTTATTTTGTGTATGTGTCGTGTGTGCCATGGGTCACTTGTGGAAGTCAAAGGACAACTTGTGAAAGTTGGTTCTCTCCTTCAGTCAACCATGTGGGTTCCAGGGACTGAACTCCGGTCATTAGGCTCGGTGGCAAGGGCCTTTACTCACAGAGCCATCTTGCTAGCCCTTTTATTTTATTTTATATTTTATATGTGTCACCATGCCTGACTAGCCCATGATATTTATTATTTTTATTTTATGTATATGATTGTATTGCCTGAATGTATGTGAGTGTACCCATATTGTGCAATGCCATGGAGGTCAGAAGAGGGCTTCGGATTCCCCTGGAACTGGAGCCGCCATGTGGGTGCTGGGAATCAAACCCAGGTCCTCTGCAAGAGCAGTCAGTGCTCTTAACTGCTGAGCCATCTCTCCAGCCCCCCATTATTTTTTTTTTAATATTTTATTATAGCTGGGTATGGTGGCACACACATTTAGTCCCGGCACTCAGGAGGCAGAGGCAGGTGGATCTTGGTGAGTTCAAGGCCAGCCTGGTCTACATAGTAAGTTCCAGGCCAGCTGGGGCTACAGGGAGACCCTGTCTCAAAAAGACCGAAAAAAAAAAAAAAAATTATTACTTTTTTTTGTGTATGAGTGTATTTCCTGCATGTGTGTAAGTGTACCCATGTCATGCTCCCAGCCAAGTCAGAAGAGTATGTTGGATCCTCTGGAACTGGAGTTATGGACGGTTGTTAGCTACTATGTGGTTGCTGGGAATTGAATTGAACCCAGGTCCTCTGCAAGAGCAGTCAGTACTCTTAACCACTGAGCACCCCAGGTCCTCTGCAGGAGCATCCATTCCTTTAAACCCTTGGCCCTTCCCTCAGCCCCTTATTTTTTTTTTTTTTTTTTTTTTGTCTTTTTTGAGACAGGGTCTCCTTGTAACCCCAGCTGTCCTGGAACTCACTATGTAGACCAGGCTGGCCTCAAACTCACAAGATCTACCTGCCTGTGTCTCCCGAGTGCTGGGATTAAAGGCATGTGCCACCATACCCGACAATTTTTTTTTTTTTTTAAAGATAGAGTTTCACTGTAGCTCCACTGACCTAGAATTCAATTTGTAGCCTAAACTGGCCTGAAACTTGCTGAGACCCTCCTGCCTCTGCCTTCTGAGAACTGGGATTACAGATTACTGATTACAGACATGCCAACCATGTCCAGCCTTAGCTAACCATTTTTAATTTTTTTATTTGTATTTTATGTGTATAAGCGTTTTGCCTGCATGTATGCACCACATGTGTGTAATGCCCACAGAAGCCAGAAAAGGGTATTGGATCCCCTGGAACTGGTGGTGTGAGGTGCTTTACCAGAGAAGACCACTCAAAGTTTTGCCAAATGAAAGTCTTTGCTGGCCAGCGGCTACACAAGGGTGTCGGAACCCAAGTGTGTAGCCCTGAACCATCTCTGGGTTAAGCTTTTTATACAGAGAATCAAACCATAACCAGGGATGAAAAGTTTAAGTTCCCAAGCTTACAGGTGGAGAGCCCCCTTAACAATTTCTAGTCTATTAAGCAACAATTACTATTTTGCAGAAGCAAGCCAAGCATAACCTACAAAAGCCATAAATCTGCAGTTAGCAGATGCACTCCAGTACACAATGACCTGTTCCCAAGACAACTGGGGTCCTGCTGGTGTGTGTCCCCATACCCTGGGCCAACTGCCTGATAATTTCAGAGACTAGAGTCAGGCTAAACTTTAACATGGCATAGCTATGGTCAAGAAGATGCCATATTACACTGGAGTTACAGGAGTTCTATTTGTTAGCTGCCATGTGGGTGCTGGGTACTGAATACCAGTCCTCTGCAAGGGCAGCAAGTGTTCTTAACCACTGAGCCATCTCTCCAGCCCCCTAGCTAGTCATTTTTAACTCTATTATGTCACCTGTAAGCTGGCAGAATAGAGCCCAGACTACATATAGCCCAAGCTATAGATTATGGCCCTGTCTCAAAATTGAAGAGAAAAAAATAAAAAAGGGAAATAGTTCTTGTTTCATTGAGTTGTTATGAGATAAAGGTATCCATGTGTGCCACATATGGTAAGCACAGGGTAAGATCAGAAATTACCCCTTTTTGTCTTTTCTCATGCCCTAGTGGTTATCTCTGAACTAGTGCTTAAGTTATCTATTGCCACATAACAAACTATCCTCTTGGATTCTGTGGGTCAGGAGCTTGGCATGATTTAGCTGAGTGCCTTGGTCAAGACACTGGTGAGGGAGTCAGAGCTGCAGTCATTTGAAGGTGTGGCTGGAGTTGCCATTTCAAAGATGACTTATTCACTGGCCTGATGGTAAAGGTCTTTGTGCCTTGACAGCTATTATCAGGGCTGATCCCTGTGATAGGGATCCTTGTCTCCACGATCTGCTTGAGTCTCCTCATGGCTTGGCATTAGCTTCCTTCAGAGTATGTAACCTAAAATCTTTTTATATTTATGTCTGTATGTTTGAAGGTGCATGTTTGCTGTAGTGCATGGGTAGAGGGGTCAGAGGACTGTTCTCAGGAGTCAGTTCTTTTCTTCTACCATGTAGGTCCTCGGAATAGAACTGAGGGTGTCAAGGTTGGGGGCAAGTACCTTTACCTTCTAAGCCATCTTGCTGACCCCACAATGTCTTTTATGACCTTCTTTTGAAAGTCACGTTTTTCATTTCTGTCACATTCTGTTTATTAGAAGTGAGTCACTAGGTGTTGCTCATACTTGAATTCCAATCCTTGTTGGACCTGGTGTACATGCTTATAATCACAACACTTAAGAGGCTGAGTTCAAGGTCAGCCTGGGATACATAGTAAGACCCTATTTCAAAAAGAATATATAAAATCTCCAAAGCTATGAATAAGTAGATAAAAATGAAACAGGGTCTTCCTGTAGCCCCAGCTGGCCTGGAACTCACTATGTAGACCAGGCTGGCCTTGAACTCACCAAGATCCATCTGCCTGCCTCTGTCTCCCCCCAGTGCTGGGATTAAAGGTGTGAGCCACCACCTCTAGCAAAAGTTCCAATTCTTGAAGGAATATCAAAATTTGTTTGTTTATTTATGTGTACATGCATGTGCCTGCACCTGGGTGCAGAGGCCAGAAGAGGGCATCAGATCTCTTGGAACTGGAATTAACAGGTGGTTGTGAGCTATCTGATGTGGCTATTGAGAACCAATCCTGGGTCCTTTGCAATAGAGCAGTAAATGCTCTTAACTGCTAAACCATCTCTTCAGCCCCTCAAAGAATTTTTTGAAATTTTATTTTTAGTTTTTGTAATCCTAAGGATCAAACTTAGGGCCTCACACATGCCAGAAAAGGTCTCTAGCACTGAGCTATATTTCTGACCCACACTGGACATATTTTAAAATCATCAGATCTCCAAGGGGCTGGAACTCACTATGTAGACCAGGCTGGCCTTGAACTCACAGAGATCCACCTGCCTCTGCCTCCCAAGTGCTGGGACTACACCACCACGCCCAGCTGAATTTCATATATTTTGATTAAATTCAACTCCCTTTCCCCATCTCCTCTCAGATCCACCCCCCCACCCCCGCCATGTCCCTATCACTCTGAACTTTGTCCTTTTTTTTAATTTTGAAGCCTATGGAGTCAAATTTGTGTTTTCCAGATACTTTCAGATATGGGTCCAACCCTTGGAGGGTGGTCAACCTGCTGGAGTCGCACCCTTAAAGAAAACTGGCCATCCCTCTCCCAGCAACTATAAATTGCCAGTAGTTTTCAGCTAAGGTTCTGGCTTTGTACTTCCCCCACTCCACGCTGGGATTTTGTCTGACCTGAGCTTGTGTAGAGGTCTTGTGCTTGCTGCCAGAGTCCCCTCCCCAGGGTCACAGGTTTGTGCCGCAGCACTCAGTTTTGCTGTTGTTTGGTTTGGTTTTTTTTTTTGATTCAGGGTCTCCCTGTAGCCCCAGCTGGCTTGGAACTCACTATTTAAATCAGGCTGGCCTAGATCTCATGGAGATTCTCCTGCCTCTGCCTTCCAAGTCCCGGGATTAAAGGCGTTGCACCACCACAGTTGTTTCACTTGTTTATTTACATTGATTCTGGGAATCATATTCAGGTCCTCATACTTAGTACTTTACCAACTGAGCCATCTCCACCTAGGGATTGTAGAACCTAGGGATTGAACTCAGGTAGTCAGGTATGGCTGTAAGCACCTTTACCTGCTGAGCTACCTCAGCAGCCCAGTAGTTTTTTAATTTTCCCTCCAGGTTTATTAAAGTATATAGCCATGACAGGTGTTTCATATATTTACAGTATACATTGTGATTCTTTGTTGTATGTATATGTTATGAAATTATCACAAACTGTCTTATCACCTCATATCCTTATCTTTTTTTGCATACATAGTAGGAATATTTAACTTTCCACAGTCTCCTGAGTGCTGATGTTACAGGATGTGATCTTTATCTTCAGTCTTTTTAATAATGTCCATTTAAACAAATTTGAGATGATATCTCATGGGTTTGACTTTCACTTCCGTGGCGATTAGCAATGTTGGACATTTTTTCACAAATTGTTGGCCTGTTGTATGCCTTCTTCTGAAAAATGCCTTTTCATAGC